TCAGAAGTAATCACGTTTATTTACTGTAACAGAGTGGTAGATAGTAGTAGATAAATTCAAGGTCTTTTAAAAATTGTCACATGTTTTTTACTATTTAATATATAATACCCTGCTATCCTGTCTGTTGCTTTTTCTTGCTTTTCTGCCATATTTAATAATAAAACACATAGTATATGTATTTAGGCTAGCATTAATTTAAAAATTAAATACATTTAGTTTAATTCTCTTAATTCTTCTCTCACACTTTCTGAAATCTCTCCATACTGTATATTTTTTGTGGCAAAAAATAAACGTCAATCATTAACTAAATACTGAATCCCTTTTCTTTGTCTTAGGTTGCATTCATAAATATATTTAGTTTATACATAATTTAAGAATTTATTAATTTAGAAATATTTAATGAACAATGATTAGTGGGATAACTGACTAGATGCAGACATCCAGAGAGTTTTCCCCTGTTAACACTGATACTGTAGCTACAGTAGTTAACATCTTTTGTCCAATACCAATTGGCTTGCGACCCAACCTGCTGATCTATGCTGTATCTCAAAATTAACATTTACAAGAACTACCTAGCATGTGCTATATGGAGATTGTGTGTACAGTATGTCACAAGCAACAAACCAAGAGCCTTCAGACTTGAGAGAGACAGATAGATGGCTGACTGAAGGCTGCAGCAGTAGGGAAGATCATGCACACTGCACAGGGGTGGTATCCACAGAGCGTGGAGTGTCCAAATACTTCCAGGTGTTACTGGAGACAGATCTAGTCACTGTCAGCCTGTAAGTAACCGGGAGAACTTTTGGGCATCAGGGAGACCTCTACCCATCCCAGTAAGAGGGAGGTATTGTAGACATAATAATAGTGAGGACTGAATTATTAGAGGTATAGAGTGTGTAGTGTGCATGGGTGATAAAGAGTGACGTATGGATGATTGGATAGGCTCCTGGCCATTTGGGTAGGATCCAGTTGTCATGATCGATTTGTGAACAACTGACTTAGGGAAAGATAGGCTGAAGATTCTGCAAGACAAATTTTAAGTTTTAGCTAGTAAACCTAGGAGCAGTGTCTTCTCAGGATTTCTCCCAGTGTCTGGTTCAATCAGGACAGGTTGCACTTCAACCTGAGGGGCACTGATGTACTGGGGAAGAGTATGTGTTTAGAAGATGAGTAGTATTTAAACTAGGAAAACTAGGACCATGGAGCTCAAAACAAGCTAATTCTGTTGGGATCAAATAAGCCCTTGGCAACACCAACAACAAATCTAGAACAAATAACTCATCCATTCTTAAATGCTTATACATTAATGCAAGAAGCATAAGGAATAAAATGAATGCAAGAACATGAAGCTACGGCATTGCATATAACTCCCTATGAGGTACTAGGAGATTAAACATAGAATTCAGTAAGAATATATTCAACATGCTAAATAAATAGGTTACCCATGTGTTTACAATAAATGTCAATTACATGCTGCTTCCTTCTTATAGATCAGGATTCAGCCGTGCTGTGTAATTTTAGCATAACTTAAGGCTCTAGAGTGGCTATAACAGATAAAATTAAATAAAGCATCAGGTATTTTTCGTCATACTTATGGACATGAGAGATGCTATTCATAGACCTTTTCTCAACTCTCACTTTGAATAGGAGCAGCATCCATAGATTGGGGAATTGCAAATAAAAAAACATTCCATAAAAATGGGGACAGAACTAAAAAAAGGAAATTATAGACCAACGCGTTGAACTTCTGTTACAGGTAAATGTCACACCCCCAATCACTTATAAGATATATGCTAGAGAGAAAATGCTGTAACAGTGCTGTTGGGGCGGATGGATGGGTGATAGAAAAGATGTGCACATACCCATGGTTGGCCAGGTTTTACGGTATGTGGTATTTTATGGAAGTAGGGAAAGAGTTGAGGACCAACACTGCACCAGACAGACGTCAAGCAAGGGAGGTGGTAAATAGGGGGGGGACTCTTTGTAATATTTGTGTGCGTCAGCAGTGAAACTGCATGTTGATTGGTGGAGGGCTGAGCGGGAATAACGGTTACTCAGGGTCACAGGTTATAGTGAATGTAGGAGCTAACGGGTTCAGAGTTACAGGTGAAATAAAGAGTTTGTTTGAGTGTCACATCGTCATCCTGGGTTGTTAATTTCTACACTATACGTGTACGAGAAACAAGACATGGTGTCAGAATAAATAGGATTCACGTCAGGACAAAAGATTTAAAATGAACGTCGCTGGAATTCCCGCACCACGAATGGATTGGGAGGCGAACAACCTGTCCCAGGCTTGGCGCAAATTCAAGCAGCATGTGGAGCTCATGTTTTCGGGTCCGCTCAAGCAGACAGGACAGGAAGAGCAATGCAGTTATCTTCTCCTGTGGGTCGGAGAAAAGGGCAGAGACATATACAACACATGGGCACTCGACGAGGAGGAGGCAAAGGTACTCAAAACCTATTATGACCGTTTTGAAGTGCACGTTAAGCCTAAAACAAATGTTATATTTGCTCAATATAAATTTCACGAGAGAGTACCGGGAGTTAACGAACCCGTTAGCTCCTACATTCACTATAACCTGTGACCCTGAGTAACCGTTAATCCCGCTCAGCCCTCTACCAATCAACATGCAGTTTCACTGCTGACGCAAACAAATATTACACTCTTTACTGTAGCTGCCTAGGACTAAGGGCTAGGGACAGCGTGAGCTGTTAATGAGAAGGTCCAGGTACACTCATGGGGAGTAGTAAAAGTGGGTGATTGGGGGCTCCAGCAGGGAAAGAGAAAACAAGGATTGGGGAGGAGAGATGAAATAGATACAGGCTATAGGCGTGTGGATTAGATGCTAGACCAAATGTGGAGAGAAAATGGGAAAGGAAAGAGAGCAGAGAACGTGGGATTAAGAAACTTGTAACCTTAATTAAAACTGTACCTCAGTTAGGAGCTAACCAATGATTCTTATTGAAACGTTATTTGAAACTAAATAAAAACTGAAACTAAATTTTAGTTTTTGCAAATTTGCAGTCACCTTCTGGATTGTTGAAGTATGCCTGACTTAGGTTGTCTTGTCGAAGACTTGCTTCCATAGTTTCACTTTTAATGTCTATATTTTACAGTGATGCCTTAAATTAATAAGTAGAAAATGTACTGTTTTTACTGAGCCCAGTTATTTATTTTTTCTCTTTTTGTCATTTTAAAATAATAATTATTCACCCATGATATATTTATATTCTGCAAAAAAAACCAACAACCCACAGCTGGGGATAATGGAAGATATAACTATATGGGCGACAGTTATTCTCCAGCTGTGTATTGTTGTTGTCTTAAGGTAGATGACAGCATTATGTCTTGCCAGTCCACATTTTAATCTGTGTCCCCTACCCAGAGTCCAACACAAACAAGCCAATTTACAGCGGTAGGCTTGTGGGAGATGTAATTAAAACTAAATTAGCTATCCCCTTGGCTTTCCCCCAGTTCAGCAACTGTTTTCCACATCCCCCAGTGTGCTATTAACTTGCGTAGTGCAATTTCCTCCAAATTAAAATCTAAAATTAAAATTGAAATAAAAGGGGCAGCAATTAAACGTAATGGTTGCTAGTTTTAATTGATTCTTCTCTTATTGTGCAAATTCACCTTATTTGCTTCTTGAAACATATTTGTAATGATGGAAATGCTTTTGCCTTCAGTAGGATTTCTCAGTGGACTCCTTTTCCTTTTGATTAGAGCAGACAATATGTTCACTAAAAAAGTAGTGAATAATTTTTGAAGATATATAACACTCCTCCCTGAACAACCTTGGGACATCGCCGAATATTGTCAATGAACATAAGAAAAACAGCAAAAATACTGTCGTGAAATTATAGTGGATTAGTAACATGTTTACCATATCGGAGCAGATGTTTATTCAAAATGAATGAGAAGTTAATAAAAACAGCTTCTTTTTAAGCTGTTATTGCCTGAAAAAGAAGTCACTCATACATTTCCTTCTTCTATACTGGTTCTTACAGAAGAGTTAAAATTCTGGGCATATTGTTTTAATTTATTAAAGGTCAGTGTTTTAGGGAATTTTAAAAAAATGTATGCAAAACGAATACCTAAAAATGACTTTTGCTCATTAATATCTTATTTAAATAACATCAGTGGTTTGGAATTGTTATGTGAAGTAAAAGGGATAATTATCATTTATTTTCAGTACTCGTACACCACAACATATCAAAGCCTTTTAAGAATTAAAGTTAAGTGATATTGAAAGATGTGTGTAAATCCTTGTTAAATCATTTTTATAAAGGCGATGTACAGGAATGTAGTAGGAAAAAAAAGACTAAAATTATATTTGTTACAATGGAAACTATTTGCTTTAAAATTAAAATGTAATCTTCGGTGGAATGTACTGTATTGTTTAAATGCATTTGTTTAATAACTTCTTTCTCTATTAATTCTTGCCCTATTGCCAATTCTACGCAGTATCCAGTATAATCCAGTTTTACATTTCAAATCAATGGACATGGCACTTGCTCCCACAATTTTTCTGCCTGGGTAGTTATTACCTAAACACGTGTCCATTAAAGCTTATGGATGTCTTTAATTGTAAATTAATCTTTCAAGGATACTGAAGTATTATAATGGATTCCTGGCATGACCTTGTGGATTAGAAATGAAGTTATACCTACTACTGTAGAATTTTATTATGGAAACATAATTTCTTCCATTTTGAATTCTTCTAAAGTGTATACTTTTTAATTTTAATTCTGTACTGTGATAAAATGGTTGTACCATATTTCAAATATTTTGTTTAAATGCAGAGATTGCAAACTGAAACCTTAAAAAGGCTATTTTTTGGTCAGCTTATTGAATTATTGTATGGACAAATAATTCTTTATTTTAGATAAAATTGCATTATTTGGATAATGGAACATTTAAGGGTCAAGAGAATACACTCAACTCACATTCATGGGTAATTTAATTTAATTGTGCAAAAACAAAAAACACAGACTTGTTTTTTTTTCTATACAGTTTTATTTACAAAATGTATTAAAACTCTTTGTACAACACCTCATTAATGAGGCTTAGTAAATTATGCCCACACATGCAATTCTTACTTTACTTTTGTAGTCGCTAGGTTGCTTGGCAATTTCTGTTTGCTGAAGTGCAGTTACAAAAAAAATAATGAAATAAGAACAAAATGAAACAAAAATCTTGAGATACTACTGTTGACCTTCTACAGCTTGACGTAAGTAGCGGAACTTGTTATGCAATCAACACTTGTTACATGCAGTTTTAAAAAGAATAAAACCAGACGTTCTTTTCTGAAGGCTTCACTCCCATAAATTAACTTTGTTTAAACAAATGTACAGGTTTCTTTTTTTTATTTTTCCCTTTTATTTTTTTTTCGGTTTTAATTTTTTTAGAAAACTATCTTTCCACAATTTGTAGTTATTTATATTTAATCCTTTCTTGGCATACTTTAAAGACTATGGAATCACAGTTTTCTTATAGAGGGTGAAATAATTATAACATTATTAATGGAAATGTATTTAACTTGATTTTAAAACCTGGCCTTAGGGGCCTGTAGATAAAATTCATTTCAATACTTTTTGCGATGTTCTGAACGCAGAAACAAATTCCTGTGCCCATAAATGAAATAAATGCCACCAGAACATATCACAGTTTGATTGAAAATGTGCAATGTTTACCAAAACAAAAATAAAATTAGAAATTTAGGTCTCAAAGGCATCATAAACTTTATTAAGTGTTTTATAACAAATTGTGTTTGAATCGATTTAAGATCTTTCTACTCTTTAACCTCTGAAAACAATTCTGCATTTTATTATCTGATGTAATATGATTTGTCCAAAGTAATCATTGTTGATGTTTTTTTATTCTAGACTTTGACTTCTAGACAAATGAGATTTCATCATTGTTCCTGCCAAAATAAGAACACTTCAGACTTTAAATACTATCCAGACAAGATGTAATTCATAAGCAGGTGTTCATGGGAACAGCCAATTTGAGTAACCAACAATCATGTTGATTTTTCCTCCAGAATTGATATTATCTAACAATCAGACACCAAATTTAGTCTGAGATTTGTCTGTTCTTTAACATGTCTTTCAGCAGTAGATTTGTTTTAGTGTATATTGTTATGCACAAACAAAGCATAATTTCATCATTTTGAAAACTATTTCAGTTGTCCATTTACAGCCACATTAATGAGACTTCTACACCACCTTTCCACACTGTTCCTCTCCTGTTTTGAGACACCGGAAACACTGGAGTTTAAAAACAAACATTTCACCCTTAAATTATTAAAAAATAATTTAAGAAGTATTCAGGTTAACCTTGGGTTAACAAAAGGGACAGCAATATGACTGGTGTCCCTTCCTAGTTACTAAAATAAATCTGAACCAACAAACCCTTGTAACTATTTTAAATACATTGACTCGGAACACAAATTTTTCAACATTAGATTTGGATGATTCTGCAATACACTGAATAACGCTGATTTTCATTCTTGCTAAGGAGCTGTTTGACCAGTTGTTGGACAGACTCCGGCTATAAAAGAATTAAGTTGTTCAAAACATAGTCTTTCTTGAGAATACCGTTGTTCTTTCCCAATGACTTCTGATCTTGAATATGTTTACCTTTGTCCAGCACTTCTAGCTGTGCTAGGTTAGCAAGTGATGGCTTTTCATTAAAAAATCTGTACTGTAAGGTTCACAGATTACGATTTCTTCATATCTCCATTGTTTTTTTTTGTATTTCAAGCGAAGCAATATTACTGTGATGAGTTGCATTGTTGTGACTCTTTGAATGTTCCATAAGGCACTGCAGGAAAAATTTAGTTCTTGAAACGACAAGTCTGTTGCTTCACTGCCGATTATCGTGCCATGCCTGACGCCCGTGGCAATGTGCAGTGATGGTGGGGCAGTCCAGGCCCATAGCCCAACCATCTTCTCCATTGCAACCAGTCATGGATGTCGTGTATACTGTGTGCAACTGTGCCCCTCCAAACTGTGTAACATGGGGAAAGAAAGTCAAATTGTAAAAATTACCCAGTTCCTGAACAGACCTCAAAAAGGACAATGGTTCTTTTCAAGGGTACAGATACTAATTCTAAACTAAAGGAATACTATACCAGTAGGAAGGTCCCTTTTTGGGTCATAAAGGCCCATGGGGGAATGGGGCCACCATTTTTCCTTGACCATCCAACACTGGAGGTAGGTCAGCCTATTACCCCTAGTACTCATTTGTAAAGTAGGCTGGATGGACTTGGAAGCTGTCTGAAAGGAATCAAAGCAAGCTACTTTGCTTGCCCCTACCTGGAATTGAACCCAGGGCCTTTTAGTCAGGAGCTAGACACCCTTACCATCTGAGCTACTACAGCTCTGTGCTACACCACTATTTTTCTAAAATTCCCAAAACTGTAAATCTGTAGATAGAGCTCAGTAGATCTTTGTCAGCAGCAATGAAATACTGCATATGCAATAGATTTTTTTCTAAAACAATTCTGCATGCAAATAGGATGTCATAATTGTGATTAATTCAAGGTGAGGATGAATTGCTCTGGATTTAATCCATTCTAATGGAGAGGACGTTTAAAATCCCACATCGCAAATTTCATCTCTTAAACAAATTCAAAGATTTAGGACACCAGCATCCATATAAATCTGACATTGCAAAATTACAAAGGAAACTTTGTAAATTCAAAATAATTCTAAGAATGAATACACAATACATTTTTAAAAAGTGTTTGCCATCAAGGCAGGTAATAAACAAGGAAAAAAAAATTGGATGTCAAGTCATACCCCTATATTTTCACACTCTCTGTTCCATACACGTTGTATCCTTCTCGGTATGTGGCAAAATTCTGGGTGTTTGTTGGGGGGGCAGGTTTAAAGTTTTGAGCATTCTTTGCAAGTTTCAGTCTTTTGGATTCTGCCCTTGACTTGTAACAGAATTCTATTAAAGCTACCATCATGGCCAGCCCAAGCCCTCCAACAAGAATATAGAAGACTCCAGCTACATTGCTCAGGCTCAGCGCGCTTGTCTTGTCCTATGAAAGGTGAATAGAATAATTAGGATTTTTCATACTAGAAGGAGGCTAACAGAAAGCAATAGTCTAGCAAAACTGAACAACAATGACAATGACTACAAGCTCTATCCTTTTGTTTTAAAAGCTTCTGATTCAAATCTCAGCAAAGACTGACATTCGAATGCAGACAACTTTCATATTTTGTTTTATAGCTGTAATAACCTTTAGACCTTAATTGAAAATAAATATTTCTAATGGTGTCAATGGCATGTCGAATGTTAACACCACATATTTCAGAAATATAAAGTGAAACATTCTGCCTTTGCTGAGGGATTAAATAAAACTACAAGCAAAATGTTAACTCCTGATTGATATGTCTTTCCTTGGCTTTCCTACAATAGTCAAAAGCTTAGAGGAACTTCAGACATTTGCAGTCAAGCCAATTTCTGTGAGAGGACAGAACCAGACAAAGGATGTCAACACATGAAAGTGTGCATTTTTTCTCTGAACAAAACAGCTTTGGTGAATGTAGAGGATATATTTCACCTATCTTTTGTTAGAAGCTCATTTAAGCAACTACTATAAGGAAGATGGTCAGCAACTCACAGGTCAAATCTCCACAGCCCTGGCTAAACAGGTCCTAATTCAACAAATATGAACTTGATCACACTCTAAACTGTTTGTGTGCAACGTAATCAAATCATTTTATATATAATAATCGCTCTATAACTCTAAAAGCAAGCCTTTTAAAAGTAAATCCAACCATTTTGCTGCTGCTACAATACCTCCCAAACTTATTTATTGAAAATGTATTTATAAGAGTTTTACTATTTGCAATTTAACTCTCTGAGTGTTTTCAGGGGCACTTGTGTGTTTAATCCAGAATAGTTCTGATCATCCAAATCCTTCTGGAAAAACAACTTCCTTTGAATGACTCACACTCTGGGATAGAGGGAATACTATGTTCTCAAGAGGGTTAAGTAATAGGTTTATAACATTCTTTGACTTCAAATAGTGTGCAAACAAAATACACTTATTTTGATCACTCTTTCAGATGGAACTCCAACTTGGGATTTCAAGGCATTTGGAAGTCATTTTGGAGTGATGTTTCAAAATAAGAAACTTTGTCAGCCACACTACAAGAGGTTAAAGAATCTAATAAACATAATCCATGCAAATAAGTAAGAACGCTAATAAATCAACTTTTAATAAAAAGTTTGGTTAATAAAGACAACAGCATAATAGTTAAGACATCATGAATGTAAGTATGAAAATGAAGAAATATGACACTATTGACTTTCTTATTATAATATGAAGACTTTAAAATGCATTGCTTATTTATACTTCATAAACATATTTCTGTGGCATGCTGTACTTATTCTTCTATAGACAAGACAAAATAACATAGCATGAAAATATATATAAATGTATTTTACAGTACTGTAATCATTACTTTATTAAACTTGTGAGTACTGATAAAAATAAAATACATCAATACTTTAACGGGAAGGAATGACTGAATACGTTATGCGTTAAAAAATTAATAGTTTACTTTATAGTGGAAAAATAAAAATAAAATAACTAAACAGCTTGATATTTGTTTAAATTTTAATAACAAATGAATCATACAAAAATAAAAGAATAGATGCTTTTTGAATATTGCTTTTTTCTTTGCATATGAACAATAAGGTCAAAATGCAATTTGGAATCAGTACAAAAGACCTGCAGCGACTGACCTTACTTCCAGAGTCCTTGGTTCCACATTCACCCTTATCGTACCACCATTTGTTTTTCAGCTTGTCTAAGATGCCTTGTTCACTGAGTTTCAATACTGCAAGGTTTACAGGAGTTCTTCACGTGGGAAATAACATAAATAACATTATATTATGTTATTTTATGTTATTCAAGCTTTTAAACTACTTCATATTTTACAAAGCGATAAAGCAGGAATCCTGGCCAAACATAACATCATAGAGTGCAGGCAAACTGTCTATTACCTTTTATATACCAACACTAGTCTAAAGTGCCAGGCCTACCCATATCGCTTCGAGTAATCGGCACACACTGTTGCAGAGTTTGACAAGAGTCAGGAACTGTTAAACTGTAGACACAAGAGAAAAACAAACAGAAATGCTAAAGCTGTGTGTGGCTTTTTTACCAGTACTTAAGAAAACCGATCCAATAGGAACCCCTACTTGACTGACAGGCAAACAAAAACCACCAGTTAAATTTCATACCAGTTGAAGAGAACTGTAGTCAGTCTCACAAAAGAACCATACAGACTCACACAGAGGATTTTAGATTCTTCTTTATAAAAGGGATCATTGTTGCATAGCATTTCATTCATCACCACATCTTCGCATCACCATTCAAGTCATTAGACACATGAATGTTAAATGTTAGCTTGATTTACACAAAACACTCTCCCCAGGTTGTGCTGGATTTCAGCAAATTGACTTTATGTAAAATCCACAATAACATTTCTGAGTTAAGGAGAGCGTACGTTAGATTTGTGAAAAGCAAATAGTGTGGCCAGTTCCCACCGTGAACAATTTAACGTAAAAACCCCTACCAGGGCTCCATTTTACACCTCAGTTTTGCTTTGCTTTCACACACATGTGGCAGCCTCATGGTGAAAAGCATAATTTCACCATGAGTGCTTTTTCATTGGAGATTGTGAGTAACCATATTGCAATCATATATCTGGGCAGTATTCAAGAGAATCTATCATTATTATTATTTACTGTGCATTTTATGTTGTGTTAAAATTACTGAGCAGTAAAGTAGAGTATAAATGTGTTAAAATGCATGAAATGTATAAATGCATTAAAAGGTAATTTGCTCTTATTTACTGCAATGTCTGTTATTAACTGTATGATATATTTGGTGTATTATTATTGTAATTATAGGGTTTATAATGTTTTTTTAAATTCATTGTTATTTTATTTCTCTCCTCTGTGTAAAAGGAGTAAATTTCCATTCTTTCTCCCTCATGGAGTTGCTAACTGCTGCACTCTCTTCCCCCTACTGTGATATCTGTGTCCTGTTGAAGGACAATAAACCCTGGTGGAACTATAACTCTGCTCTCCTGTCCATCTTCCTCACTGGCCAACACAGGAAAGATGAAGGAGGATCACTGCAATAGCATGAATAGTTTTCTTTATGCACGTTCAAGAATGGCTAAAGAAGGATAGTTTCTGACTTATGTTATGTTTGGGGTTATGTAAAAACTTGGGGAATGGGATCTTTACATAATCAGGGGAGTGGGTGTTTAGGTTAAAAATATATCCTGAAAAGTAAGTCTATTCAATATGAAATAAATCCAACTTTGTTAACATATATATTAAAATACACATGGAAATAAAGTAGTTTCCTTAGTTCTTTCTCATCCTAAATTAAATAATATATATTAGTATGCCATTTTGTGTCGCTGAAGGTGGAATTGTAGCGGATTGCTTGTTTAGACATTCTTAGAGCATTTCATAACAGCTTCAGACAAATGCCCACATACTGTACACCTGCAACACCCTTTTTTTTACAAAAAACAATCCCACACTTTCCAGAAAGTGATACCTACAGATTCCATGTTATCAAGCTCAATAGTTCTGTAGGATTTTCAAGAAATTATACAGTATATCAGTATTGCTGTTAAATTTCTGTTTTTCATTTGTGTTCTTAAGATGATTAATGGCTTTTTTGCAACTCCATGAAATATATTCACTGCAGTATTCAACGTTTTGCGTTGAATTAATATTCCAGGCAAAACACTACACAAATTATGCCATCTGAAAGAGCATAGAATTATGCTGTGTTTGTTTTACACAATGAGCTAAGAAGGAGACTCCCAAATGTCCCATTTTTCCTGAGACTCCCAAATAGTTGCATTATGTTGCACTGTACTGTTCTTATCTTTCTATGTGATTCAAATGCTTTATTACAAGGGATGTGTGTACCTTTTATAGGATATGAACTTTGATCATCTAAAGCAAATGTTGTACCCGAACATTCATGATCATTAAACAAGTCATTTAAAAAAGCATTAGATGACTGAAAAGGGTGCCTTTTCTGCTGTCGAGCACTTATTTGTTTTTGGAACCCCTTTGTTATGAGCATGAACGAGTGTCGTAATTTCCAAGAGAAGGCAAATGGAATAAAACTGGAACAAAGATCCCTTTACTCAAGGGAGTATATCTAGTAATGATATAGATAGGAATTTACTTATCTATAAATGGTTGACTGTAATAATCGAGCAACTTATTGATTTAAATCTGTATACTGTGAACTGTGAAAAAACGTCTAAAATACGTTATGAAGAAATCATGAAAAATAGACTAGTTTTGGTGCTTTGCTCACTGTACCTTGGACTAAATCTTGGACATGGGGTGACTCCACTGTTACGAAATGCCCTTCCTCCGACTCTTCAAGACACAAATTCTTTTACTTAGTTTCTAAGTTTTTATGAGGGCCTTTGGCTGATTGCCTTAACAGTCTATCCTAGATATTTTTTGCTTCATTTTTTACTCTTCAATGTCTTTTTTCTGCTTTATCACTAAAGTGTCCTAGGGATTATTATTTTGTGTGTACAATCAATCAGTCATTATTTTTTTCTGTAGCACCCTTCACAACAGGTAGCAGAGACCCCCAGTGGGAGAATAAAAGTCCTCTGGAGCTACCCCCACTCAAGTCAGAATGAGTTTGTGATACATGCATCATGAAGCAAAGATCAGATATGGTAAAATAATTGTATATATATATATGAATATGAAATATTGAACCTGAGTCCCAAATATTAGATTTTGGGCAATAAGGGTTATACTTTAGGTGCTGCATAGATGTAAATGATTTCAACAATTCTAATATATATTTTAGCTTGTTAATAAAGACTTATTATGTAGCAGAATATCCTATTAAAAAAATGATGTAACCAAGAGTCTGGTATTAGTGGCTGCGTACTCAAACATATTTATAAATAGTTCCACAGAGTGTGTATTCAAGTCACAGACTGGGTTATTGGCTAATCGATTAGGATGTGTGTAACAGTTTTCTCATGGGTTTATTTTTGTATAAAACAGTGTCTCAAGGTGAGAGAGAGGACTGGGTTGTAGTAAAAAGACTGAGCTGGTTGAAGGGTTTACTTTATTTTGATAGTAGCTGTTGTGGTTCTTGTAAAGGGCAGGTGGTAGCCATCCTCTCTACAGCTTGTATGGTTGATATTTAGGTTCTTTACTTATTGTTGAAGTCTTTCGGTTTGTAAAGGCAGGAAATTTAGTTTCAATATTTAGTTTAAACACAGTCCACTTTGTTTTATTTATCAAGCTCTACCTAAAGCTGGGATCTTCCACAATAAATTTACTCAGAACTACCTTTATCTTCTCTTAATCTACATTTGTGTATATGTGTCTTTGTTAGCAGACCATAAATAAACAAAATAATAATAATTTAATAAATTTTTAAATAAACATTTAATGTATATTGTTTCAAACACATAAGGTTATTAGTACATGGCTATGTCTTCTTAAGCTGGAGACAACAAAATATTAAATAGGGAACAATGCTTCTAAAATGATATAGCGTATGCTGTACTGTTTAATTCTTAATTAAAACACTGCCAGTGCGATTGTTGTGAATAGATGCACCTCTCCCAAGCTAACAATTTGTCGATCAATACATTTTTAATAATTGTGCAGTAGGTCCCATGTTAGAGACTGACCTACTGGTAATTACTCTTGTAAGAAAATAAGCAATTTAATATGTGGGCCGTGTAATAAAAAAAACTACCACCATTTCAAGAAAGTTAGCTCTGAATGGATGATATGCATTCAGGATCAGTCTTTCAGCTTGCAAATGCATATTTCATTAGGCTTTAATGTGTGCTTGATTTCCTAGATGCAATGACTGATTAAGTGTGATGATGTTTCCATATAAGAGATTTAAAGGTAAAACCTCAAGCCTGAGAGCATGTCTTTTTTAAAAGACTGGTTGTACTGCAGGTACCATCAATTACTTCCAATGGGTATAGCATACAATGCATTCAAAGCATGTATTTAAAATTCTGAAGTTCATATTTTTGGAAAATTGAATAAACATGAAACACCAGCCTAGGTGATAATATAATATTGGTAGTGTGTGTCCTGTTTTTAATCAAAACACTTGGCAATTGCTTGCAAAATAAGGCACTTGCTTTGTATTCTTACAGTAATAGTATTCAATACCTCTTTACATCAAGGAATGGATAGCTATTGTCAAGATCAGCAAAGCTAATTGGCTTGTCTTTGCAATTAGCCAGGTTCATTCAAAACAAAATAATAAATAAAAGACATCTGGCATGTACCCATATTTGCTGGAGTTATATCTGAAGACCATTAGACATTTACCACCTTGGGTTCACCAATAACTTCATTAGTAATTGATTGAACATCCTTTGAAGGATTCTTTCTCTGTCCATTCTCCTACAGTAGCAGTTTTAGTTCTACATGACAGTTTCAAGTATAACTGAAGAGTATGGCTTAGTACTTTTTAATATTCAGTTGCTGGGTGAGACTGAACACTTATGCTTTGTCTTTTTATAAATTAGAAGTCCAATTTGTTCATTTCCTATGATGAACCTGATTCCCCTCAAGACTACAGTATGTATCACACCTAATCATGCAGCTCTGGGGAGAGTCACTGAAAAGAGAGCTGTGTCTATTACATTGTGTAATGACACAATAACAGTCCCTCTTGACTCTTTCTTAGAGCATGGATTCCTCTTTACTAAATACACTGTTGTCTTAAAGAAGATCTAGTGTATCATGACTCCATATCTTAGAAAATTATTTACTGATACATGTCTATTTCAATTTAACTATAATTATTTATAAAAAAAGTTTATAACTGTAAGTATTTAACTAGCACACTGATATAAAGATTTTTAGTTCTGTATTAAAGTACTATTTCTTGATAAAATACAGAAATACAGATCCTCAATATATAATAAGATAAGACAATGAGATTTATGTGGTGGCAATGTCTAATAACTTCAAGATTTCATTTTTAATATATTTATAACAGTGAACTTTGTTGGCTGCTGGGCTTGAAAGTAAAAAAAAGGAAACCTGAAGTGTTTTTAAATACGAGTTAAAAATACTTTGTGCTTAATTGGCTCTGTATTTATTTCCTTTTGGAATGAAAAGCTTTCAGATCCACCCACAGTGCTCTTCCAGTGCTGTCATTAATCCTGCAGAAAAAGAAAAAGCCTTTGCACAAAACATTAGCAGCTGGTCTTCATGTAGACCTAATAAACAGAATGACAGGCCACTCTTACCATGACATCCCTGTTACCTCACTGCCTAGGAGAAACAAGAAGCAGATCAAGAGTTGTGACATTTGGACAAAACGTGTCTTTTGACAACTGCAGGGCAGCAAGGCATTAATCTTAAAACTTTGCATCATTAAAGACCATTCTTTCTTATGGTATTCTTCAAAACATCAGACATTGCATTTAAAAAGCCTACAAAAGACATCCTCTAGTACAGCAGATCACAAGAAACTCTCAAGCTCCTAAAGTATTTGCAGTGGATGTATGAATCTGCTGCATGATATCAATAATCCACCTATAGAAAAAAGGGGGAATGAGGAATAAGGGAATAAGTTCATTTGATTGCTCCTATTACCCCTATTACCTATAATGCTCATGCTACAGACCTTTCCCCTCAGTATGTCACAAATTCTACTGGTCCTTTCCTCCCATTAGCCAAGTAAGGGTTTCCAGTTTGATCACAGTTGCTTTATAAACTGGAAAAGCCACATGGAAAAGCCGTTCTGTTGGCCAGCCTAGATGTTTGTGAATGGTTTCAGACATAACAGCCTTGCCGATTACTCTGCACTAAGGTACCCGGTTTTGGTGACATTGAGGCTGACCTTGGAGTCACCTCCCCCGCTGCCGCACTCTCCCTTGTCGTACCACCATTTGTTTTTCAATTTGTCCAAGAGGCCTTGCTCATTCAGTTTTAATACTGCCAGGTTAACAGCATTTCTTGAAACGATAAAACATAACTCGTAAGAAAATGCACAGGTCCGTGAATGTAGAATAATATTCAGAATTATTATTAAAAGGAGCACGAGAGGACAAATTGGTTAAAAAATTTCACGGATATGGAGAGATAAGAAACGCTTGTACAGCAAAGAAAGTGTTAAATATTGGAAAGGTGGCATGGAGGATAACATTGCTCAGAACTGAAGTGTGCGGGATGGGGAAACTTGTCATTGAGAAGAAAAAAGTAACAACAACAAACACCATGCAATTAACATTCGTCACAAGTGACAGCGCAGCTTTTACAAGTTAAATTGAAAAACCGTTGAACTGTTAAATTAAAAGCGACAACAGTCAGAGAAGACGACACACAGGAAAGGAGGAAAGACAGAGGGAATAAAAGAAAGAAACAGGAGGAAAGAAATAAACACAAAAAATGGATGCATTAAGTAAAATTATCCTTAATTTACCAGATAACCATAGTATATCAATTGGAAAAAATTAAAGTCAGCCTTCAAACCCAGGCACAATAAAAGCACATAAAACTGTTACCTCATGATGTTCACCCAAAAAAAAAAAGGAAGAAAAGGAAATGACAACACAGAACATCAGGGTAGGTGGAATACTATAACAACATAGAGAATATTGTTATATTATTCCACCCACCTTAATGCTGAGCCTTTGGGAGTCGCCACACCATAGCCCTTGGAGTCGAGATTTCCGCCCACTTTCATGGTGTCACAGGGCTTCCGCTGCTCAATGTATTCATTCATGGTGGATTCGAGTAGGAAGGCGAACTTGCCCTTCGACTTTCGTACCCGGGCAACCCCTTCAGCTGTTGTTTTAGCAAAGACAGAGGGTTCTGCCGATTTCATGTATGACCACATTTTTTCATACACTGCTATTTTCGAACGCTGCACGGGGAGACAGAGAGAAAAAGAAGAAAAACATGAAAAAGAGAGGTCAAACACTCTTTGTAGGTCCAGATATTTATACCGAAGTTTTGGGTTTCTGTTAACAGACCTGAAATATTTATAGACATCGTCAAATAGCAGTGTTTGATATTTTTTAAAAACTTTCAAAGACGTTGAGATAATTAGGGTACATGTAAAAGGTGTGCCACATGTTTAGTGCATTTTCAATATGTTGCATCGTACAATGAATAGATACTCAAGTCCCATTTAATATTCATTTTCATTTATTTTTAGTAATTCAAGATGTATTAGATATTTATACATCATAAATCTTGTAACGTGTTTTTTACATATTGCAGAACTGGTACGTTGAAAAGCATATATTGTAATAAACGACATTGTTACTGAAGACTGTTACCTTTTATTGCTGTATAGAAACAGCTCTTGGATCTCCCATGTAATGTTACTTATTTTTATCTGTTTTAAAAGCATTACTTTAAATGCTTCATGCAACAGAGTTTAATCAATACAGCAGTTCCAAGGTCAATATATGCTACAAATTTCACCACACTCACATACAGTAAGGCAAAATAACATATTTTCTTAGAAAATAAAATAAATAACTGAAACAGGAACACTCAAAGTTCATCTTCTGGATTGAATCTGTGACTTTTATGTTACATTTGAAAAATATTCAATATTTTTACAACACTCGCTAAATTCTGTTTGGATAAATCTGCTTATACTAAACACCTGCGATTTGTTAAAAAATGACACATGACAATACATTTGAATTGAGCACATATAGCATGTCATAGCTTGCTTACAAATGAGTCAATTAGTTGTTTATAAACTGTTATAAACCAACACAATCCAGAATTAAAATGCCTAAAACCATTTAATTATTCTGGCGTTCACTTCGGATTTGCGCCAAAGCTGTTGTCCAATGTTGCATCTTAATTGATCTTTAATATGTCAAGAAAAATATGATACTGTATGCTATAGCTATTTTTTTGTTATACTGTAATTAAAGAAACAATTATTATAGCACTGCAATAATGTAAGTTTAGTTTGTGCACTTAGAAACACTACGAAACACATTGCTAGAGCATGATTTAAGTGGTGCATACTGTTTTTAAGGTGAATTAGGAGGTTTGGTACAGTATGTACAAACTATATAATTTTTTAAATTGTATAAATTATTTCAAGGAGCTGATGGAATATCTTTAATACTTCACTGAGAGGATTATTTCAGAATCAACACTGAGACACAAACAAAAGGATGCAATTAACTATGTGAAAGTGTATTTAAAACGAAGAGCAGGCACACCTTTATGCAAAAGGTTTTGGGAATATGGAACACACTACCCAACCTGTTGTCAAAGCAAATACTCTAAACTCCTTTAAAAAACAGCTGGATAACATCATCAAATAAATAAGCTACTTAATGCCATACAGGGATAAACAAAATAATGGGAACTTTTAATGAAAAGGACTTGTATATAAGTAACTAAATTTCAATTAAAAAGGATTTTTCACACGTTTCATATTCATTTTATTACTTATTACCAAGACAGTAATGCCCACATACAGACTCAAAACTGGTTTCATGAATACCAAGATAAAGTCAAGTGCTTTCACTGGATCTTAAAATCATTGAACCTTTATGGAAGGTTCTGGACCTTTGAGTACAGAGTAGATTTCTAACCTCTACATTTCTCAAAGAACTAGCCTTTCTTTTTGAAGAATGGTCCAATATCTTACTAGAATAGGATTGAAGCTGTTCTGAAAGGAAGGGGTGTCCCAACTTCTCAGTAGTATTTATATTATTCATATATTGCTTAGTTTATCCATTATTTTGGCCACCCCCTGTACCAAACATTTGTAAAATTTGCAGTATGCTATGCAGCATAAAACTGGATTAATAATTTCCATTGAAAGAATTCAATCAGCAGAATGTACTTTATAATAAAAGCTGTGGCAAATCAAGTTTACATAATCAGAAATGAATTCAATTAGAACAATTAACCTGCAGTTCAATCTGTTGTGGGTTCTAAAGGGCACTTCTTTATAGCATATCGTAACTATTACTACAAACTTTTTCCACAAGTTCCATATTTCAAAGTGAACAGAAAGTACAGGTATACAGAAAGGCACACAAAGTGGAAAACTGAGCACACATAGCAAAATCTAGTGTGAAAACTCGAATAACAGTGTATCTATGATCCAATAATGACAACTACTGGAGAACGTGAAGGGGAAATTGGGTGCTCATTAAAAACGATTGAGAAAAAACAAGACTGCACCTATGTGTTTGCAGGATAAATAGTGCGAGAAAGAGATAAGAGCATATTTCGTTGAATGTAAGGTCAGATCTTGAAGTTTCCCTGAAAGGAACTGGAACAGAACTGAGTAACTATAAAAAGTATCAACTCAGTTAGTCAATGTCAGTACATTGTTTTGAACTGGCATTCTTATAATTTCAGAGGAATTATGCTCTTTACTTAAATAGGTCTGCACTCAAGCACCTAATGTGATAGGATTTCACAGTGCAGAAAGAGAACATATTTTGGACAGTGGTAGACGCAGATGGCGGGGGGCGTGGTTTAAAATGAGTGGGCTCCAAGCCAATTGCCAAATTTGTTGTGTTTTCGACAAGCTGGCAGCATTAGATCATAAATTACCATACGTCTGCTGATTCATTTGAACTGAAACCAAAATGCCTTAGGCATTTTCTAAGGAAGACACATGACAAAGTCAAAACTACGTCACCAATAACAAAAACCACTCACTTTTTGAACTCCAGCTCTTAATTTGACCTAGAGGGATTGACTTCACATTTTTAATATTGTTCAGTGCTGCCACCTTGGACACTATTAAATAGAGACTCTTTTTAAAAGCACTTATAGCCACCATCTTATAGCCACCAAATTTATGTGATAATCTCTAGTGCCTAGTGACATACAAGATTATATTGGTAAGCATTACAGAATTTAAATTGGACAGACAACTTTGTCAGGCTTGTCAGAAATTAATTATATTTTAATATTTTAAAAGCAGTCAGAGAAACTGCAGAATATTTCATTATTATTTTTAATATGTTAAAACCGATGTCTGAAGTGATATGGTACTGCATAGCTGGTGCCATGTTACACTTCATTTCAAGGCAATATTTCTCATGTGGCTTGGGGTCTAGTATTTCTTAGGCCCATTAAACATAATGAAAGGATGAAAGGGCCCATGTAAATGTGAATTAATTTAGTCATTTCCTTGTGTGATTACTACTCTACATATACAAATGACCAATTTCTGTGGAAATATCTTTTATCTTTCATAATCAGGAACTACCATTCATGGAGCCTTATTATTTTCTTCTCTCTTTTTGCTTAATTAGAAATAAAATTCCAACAAAGCACCTTGAACTTTCCCAACATCTATCACTGGAAATTTACTTTGTATTCCATGAACACAGCCCTGTGTTTGGTTGAATGGCAGTTCTACACTTAAGTTATCCTTCATTAAAGAACTAACATAACAAAAAAAAAGAATCTTGCTTTAATGGTAATGCAAAACCGAATCTATATTTTTTTACTTTGTATAATTTTATATTTGCAGATGCTAAGTATTCTTTGGGAGAGTACAAGCATAAAGGGCAAATTCTGTAAGGTTAGGGATTCATCTGAAACAAGCTTCCAGACAATGGAGTCTCAAAACAGAATCAAGTGGGATTAGGGATTGATTGCTGCAGAGAGGATGTGTGCCGCCTCAGTGCTTTATGAAGTCAATTTATCAATAGTAGTACCTAGCAGTATCTTAAAAGAAATGAAAAGAAAATGATTCTATGTCCCACTTAATTGTTGTAGTATAGTAAACGGGAAATATTCAAACACACCATTTAAAAAAAAGTCTTTATAAAAAATTACAGTGTGCTTAAATTCACCTTTGATTCTATATCTCTGTGCATATTTTGCCTTCAGCAAAGATTTGAATATTTTAAACTTCAATTAGTAACTGTTTTTAAGGTTTTATCCCAATGTACAAAGCATAATATCAGAAAACATAAAAAGCATCAAGAATTGAACACTAACAAGCTTTATTTTATCATGCATTTTACTCCTACGTTCAACCCTATAAAAAAAAGTCCTTGATCTTTTATAATAACATTATTCATTATACTATAAAAAGCTAAAATGTTTATATATATGGGTTCTCCCAACAGGGAAAGCTCCTAGGATTAGGAAAAATGGGGAGCATAAGTGCACATACATTGATAGTTGGGGAGAAGGACAAGTCTTGACATCTGACATCTGCTGTGAACTTCTCAGATTGACATCATGGCAAATGCTCAGGTATCAGATTGTGGGAACACCCAAGGGCCCCTGTTTAACTAATGGTTAGAGGCCAAAAATGTGAGGATGGGGAACATACGGGCGGTGAGGTGGCTCTGTGGCTAAGGATCTGTGTACGTGGCTGGAAGGTTGCCAGTTTGAATCCTGTGGCCGGCAGAGGAATCCTACTCCGTTGGGCCCCTGAGCAAGACCCTTGACCCCAACTGCTCCAGGGGCGCCATATAAATGGCTGACCCTGCACTCTGTCCCCACGCTTCTCTCCCTGTCTGTGTGTCTTATGGAGAGCAAGCTGGGTTTGTGAAAAGACACATTGCTAATACAAGAAATTGTATATGGCTAATAAAGATCTTATCCTATATCTGCCAAAAAGCTTGCACTTGAATGGAGATCTCCACAAAGATATCAACATTAAGTGGAAGCATCAAACATTGATATAATTAATAGAAAATACAACATATCTAAGCAGAGACACAGCATATTGCTTCATATGTTTATACTTCTGTTGTCAATATGCACCACTGCTTTCTTTAGCATTATTTTTTAAAATGATAAATAATCTTATGTTGATAAGTGAGCCACTAAATTAACACAATTAGAAGTGAACTGTTTAATGCTGTAAAATATTTACTGATTGAGAAATCTAACCTCTAC